TATATTTTTGAGCAATACTTAATGGGCTTTGAAGGCAATATTAGTTGTGCACTTAAATATCGTGTCACCGTCGGGACAACCCTGGCTTCACTTATCCATTGGTTGGTAAATGGTATATCCGATCCTGGATTAAATTGCATTGGCACTGAAAATAAGGGGGATTTACAGGAAAGCAGTACGAATTGAAACCAGGATTGAACGACGAATATGTCTGTAAACAAGGAATTGTTCGAAAACCCAAGAATTCAGGATCTCTTTATGTTGAAAGAAGTTCCCAATAACCCAGACGGGTGTGTAGGTACCACGAAACGGAGGTGAAATGCAAATAGGGTTTCTTCGTTCCTTTCATTTGTTTCTAATGCCAAAAATTGGTTAAAATTGTAACCACGTCGAGCCTTGTAGCCGTCACTCCTTCACACGCATTCCATAATGGATGTGACCGATGTTTTAGGTTCGTCTACTTTGACCCCATATCAAGTCCATGCGCGTATATAACTTATTTTAAAAGTGTGAGTGGACCGATTTCTCCTTTGGCGCTCACTGGTTCAGGTCATCCGTTGTAGATTTTTTTTAAGGTACCCAAAGATGGCTGGAGTAATCCTCGTGTCAAACCCAGTCGCCGTCTGATCTGCGGCTGGTTTGAGGTGAATCTGATCACCTGCAAGAATTGAAATGACTTCTTCCTTAAACCATCAAATGTGTGTTTTGACAATTCAAATACAATGCGGATAATCCTCAATGTAAATCCGTCAAATCAGGTGGATGAAGTGGTGCCTATTTAGCTTACGGATGTTCGTGATGTTTCGCCTTTCACCTTTTAGCCGCCTCAAGTCCTTTATCAGGTCGGAGCGGGTTATTCTTCACAATAGCAGTGTTCAAAACATACCACTTCAGACTGCCAGCGTGGACGCCTGCTTCCACGTTGACTCCTTCTACTTCTGGCCGTCGTTGGTAGAGGCGCTGGAAGAGGTCTTGCGAGTTTTACGGCCCGGTGGGGTGGTGGTGACTGCCTTTGCCCCGCACCACCTCAATCGGTTCACGCAATGGGGTTGGATGCGCTATGCTCGGCCTGACATTCTGGCCTACGCCATGGCGCTGGAGTCTGTGGGCTTCTGCGATGTTGAGTGGATCAAAAACGACCCTTTGGCACCGACTGGTGTACAGTGTATTAGGGCGCACAAACCACCACTTAAGCTATTGACTTAGAGTTCCGATGTCTTATTTATCTACTTGCTGCTTTGTACAGCCGACTCTTCTATTACTTGTACGATTACATGTCTCGCTAGTTTAGATGCACCATGGGGGCGTAACATGGAACTGGCCAGCAAACAATTGAAGTAGGCGATTGCATTTATTCCATTTGTCGCAGCTAGTCAAGCAGGCGGCCAATTTCATCAGGAAGCAATGGTGACGGCGATATCAATGAAACCAGTGGCACCCGGTAACTCGAAGTAGGAACAATGACGAAGGAAAACAACGAATAAACGGTCAACAACCATTGTCAGCAATTCACGAGTACAAATTAAAATCAACCTGTTGTCAAGGCAGGTGTTTAGCTACGTTGGGAATCTCAGTCTTCCAATCCAACTGCTGCGCCAGAAGTGTGGAGCCTTGTACTGTTGGATCCTCACTTTCCGTGTTAATGGGATAAAGGTGCTTCTAGACTGCTACTCCGTCGATCATAGCGTTGACGGATCACGATTTTGCAACTACGATGCCTCACAACCTCACTCCAGTCTTGGGTCCTGCATAGTGGTTGCTAATAGGCAAGATCGATCAAGGGGAAAGGGGGGATCATGCGGTTTGACTTCAACGCTGGTGGAGACTGGCGAAATCACTTTAGCATTGAACGTTACTTGGAAACAAATACAATGGACCGAGAGAGTTGGTCTTCGGCATACCTCGTTGAAATGACGTCATTTTCAAAGACATAAACGGTTTGCGACTGTTTGTGTACATGAACTATCAGTTACAATCATTTATCACTTCATTGGAACAGCACTTTTTACTGTGCTCTCTAACACGCTCCTCCTACTTGGACGCCTTAAATGTGCTTTGTGGAATGGAAGCTTAACTCCAAAGTCCCTTGTCGAATGTGCTGGTAAGCGTTGGAATAACATGGGGTGGTGGTAAGACGCACAGTCCAGAAAGGGATTAAACAAGTTCCCCATGGAAATGAATCACTCAAAAAGCACTGCTCAATTAATGTGGAAATTAAAACTTCCAGTACTGTTTAACGGGGGTAGTGGAACAATTGGTTAACACCTACACCGACTGGGAACGTCGTAGAAACTGGGATGCCAGGCAAACGCCTCCCCCTCGTGTACATTAACAAGACCAAAATGCTTTGAAACCTGTGCGTTTATTGTTCTTCACATAATAAAGATTGTTTAGTGATTAACACGTACAGAGAGGTGGCTTTTGTATACCAAAGCTAAGCAAACAAGCAGCACAGACTATCTCCAAACCACCCACCTAATGCTCACACCGCGGAGGCAGGCAGCGCTTTATCTCCTCGAGGCTACGCTTGTTTTGCGGATGTGCGTGTGTGTTTAGGCGTGTGGCGATGGACGGCAGACGCAAATGTTCACCCGTTGAACGCTAAACAAGTACATGTCAGACTGACCTACCCTACCCTGGCAGCGAAACAGCCAGGACTATTTGTTCAGTGGAAAGAGAAGTTGCATTGTGGCAAAACAAACTCAACCACTCATGCCATGTGCCGGTAAACGTGGCCATATTCAAGCATTTCTTCAAGTGGTCCACATCACCCTGTCTTGGCATTAGCAGGTACACATGATCAAGTGCTGGCTAGGGGACAGATGAGAAAGTAAATGAGATGAAGGTAGAAACCCAATTGCTTCCCGACTTCTGGAGGCAAAGTTCTTTATAAAAGCAAAATTTGCAACAACGTTGTATCCCTTCGGGAAAAGATTAGGTATTGTAAACAAATTTCACGTCTTAAGAAGCTTCCTCAAATTACTTGCTTTTCATAAAAAGTACCAACCTATTTGATTACCTTATGCATCGAAATCGGCTCAAGTTTTACGGATGAGTCTCCGCAGTCCCCTGTATGTTCCAGCAGATCTAGTTGAATTTTACCATCCTCCTGTCAATTCAGACCTCGTTGAATGAAAAGAGGTGAGGACATGTAGCATAATAACATACGAGGAATGTGGAATGCCGCCCAGCCTCAGGAAACCGCAAATGATCCCAAGCAATGAAGTCTGGCACCAATTCATCGAAGTCAACGAAATGCACAAAACCGTTGTAATCAGCTGCCCTATTTCTGACTCAGCAGTCTCGTGAGCGATTTTAGCAAACGCAACGACCTCGTGATGGCTAAGTTACATAAGTACAGAACTTAAAAGGGGGAAAGGTTATGTAATAAGACAATGCTTACCTAGGTTGCATGGCCCTTTACATAAACCTTTTCAATCTCCCAATAAGCGGCCTCAAAGCTCTGTGTCACCCACTCATGATAATCTCCGCTTAGCCCTCGGTAGGTTGACAGTAAATGACAACATCTCCAGGTGTGGTCTGGTACCACATTGACGGAGGTAATAAGAAGCTATCTCTAAAAAAAACAGTATCAGTCTTGATCCCGCTAGTTAACAAAAAGAAGGGACCTGTCTCGAGTAGCTACACCTATGCAAGTTCCTGACTTTCAGCGACTACTTCAATTCCGAGCCGCGCATAATGACCAATCGTGAGCTTAAAAATACTGTCCACAGAGTTGGCTCAATGAATCCGTATGTTTCAAGAAGCTGCGAAAAACTGAAGCAAGCATTCAATCAGAAATGGAGAGAGCGAAGTGAAAAAGATGGATGAACACAGAGGTAACCGATATTACGTATTCAATTAATTGGTTTTACTTCGAGGCGCAGAAGAGATATCAGCTGCAGGAAGTCATTTAGTCAAAAGGGGCATTTCTTGAACAAGCACCTTTATAAAACACCAATTAAGTAGGAAGTCCTTCCAGAGGGAAGATAATCACGCAGGAGGAAGGGTGTAAAACAACACATAGTGGGAGTGCACTAAAGTGGCTGGTTTGAGCAACACTTTTTACACAATTATCAATAGAATATCAGCTGAACTCAGATTTAGTCAAGCTCAAATACCCGTTGAAAATCATCCCGTCACCCAGCTTGTTGACTTGCATAATTTACAGTCACGTTCTAAAAGCCCAAGTCCCATTGAACTAAAAGATATGGGTGCAAAAAGGGGAAATATGACCAAATTTATTAAAAGAGAACACAAAGTATTGATAAGACAAGAAATGGAAATTACGAAGATATTATGCACTAGGAATGAATCGGCTGAGAAATTATGCAAGACAACATAAATGCAACGGTTACAAATGGACCGGCCCAAAATCGTCATCTGAAAACTTAGGCAACAGGCTTTGTCAGAATGAAGTGCAAGATGAAATGGTCTTACCGGCCATTCCTTGCGGACAATACGAATTGTCTCATTTGTAAGTTGAGGACCAAAAAGTGGATTTAGCTGGGCGAAAAATGTCATGAGCCAGCTGGATTACTCTTTAGGTAAGAATGAGGCAACTTACAATAGGTAGCAGCAAATAGATGTCATAACTATCATTATCTGAATAAGACTAGGGGAGATGTAATGCCTGAAATATACATGAGTACCTTCTGTTGGGACCTTTTGGTATAACTAACGGCACTCCACATCCTACCAGTGCCCAAAAAACTGTAACTACTGTCAGCGGTAGCTCGTAACCCATTTTTTACGAGAAAAACAAAATAACTTAAAAGGGATGCAATTGGCCTCGACCTTTAGGCTTGGCGCCTTCTGTTCGATTACTTATAATATTTAGCATCAGCAGAATCGACAACAATGTTCCATACCAGAATTCCTCTTCATAATACAAAACAATGCAAGCCTATCTGAAAAATTGCCTCAGTCTTACAATAAGCAATGTTTGAGAAAAGTAGGATGAAATTACGTATAGCCGACAATCGGTAGCCTTTTTACAGTATTAAACAATTTATTACACTAAATCACTGAGGTCTGTAGTTTCGTCATCATTTTCGTCTTAATGCATGTGAAGCAAAACATATCTGAATTAGGCGTGTTTCAGTTGTATGGGAATAATTCTTCAACAGGTTCATTTTCATAAACTATTTTAGTTTTCTTGTGCCCCCTGGTTAGGGATACTAAATTTACCATCTCTGTAGAATTGTGTTTGCGAATTATGCTTGCTGCTTGATCAGAATTTGAGATGATATTTGTCTTCACATAAGTCTACATGTACAAATAAAGGAAAAATATTTTCGCTTCATGATTTGGACATTGCGTTTCCCTGACAATTTAGCATTTACCCTATTTGTCCCGTATAGCAGGCAAATTAACGCACTAAAAAAGAGCCGATGCCCTTTCTCCTATATGCTCAAACACTACTTTACCGAAATTACATTTAATTTAACAGCACAATCACGCAATGAATATCAAATAAGAGAGTGAAATCAACGTAGTGGGTGAAGAAAAGGGTACCCGTGTAGTCTTCTGGCATCATGAAGACACGTACACACATGTACACTAGCGATTTTCACTCTGTGTGACGTGATTTGACAAGTGGGCAATCAAGTTTTAGTCTCTTTCTTCTTTCCTCTCTTCTCCTCAGCCTCGTTTGCTTTCCCCGACTTAGCCATTGCCTTTGGGTCCGCAGTCTTGTTGCGAATTTCACTGCCGTCGCCGTAGGTGCTAGTGTAGTACCTAGGAAGGGTCGGAGGATCCTGCACCGACCACTGCAAATACATCAAAACGGTATAAGATTACATGTGATTGTTTATTCAAAACAATATATTCGAACTTTAACTTCCGTTACTTCTAGTTTAGATTACTCCATTTTTTCCCTTATTTATTATTACAAAAGTTCACTATCGCTTTCAGGATAATTTGTTTCAAACTAATGCATAGTCTGTTATTTTAGGGTCTCATTTTCTCCCTGGATTAAATTATAGCAGCAGTCCAAAACGTTTAAAACAGACCAATAAGTGCATGCACCGATGTTTTGAGCAAATTTTTGGATCTATTGAATCCAACAGATACGCTAGAGACCTACGCTAAAAGTTCGAGAGTCTTGCGAAATGAAGACGGTCATCTCAACCTGCTAACGACATGCAATAGCTCCTCAGCAAAGTCATTTCCCTAAGTTCAATTAATCAAGGAGGCATAAAACAGATCGGATGGACAGACGTAAGC